TATTTTGCAGAGGTCTAACTCGTTTAAAAACGCAGGGTTGACGGCAAAGCCAAGTAAATGTTTCATAGAATATAATAGCTTAGAGTTTGTAGGTCATCAGGTGGGTCATGGGCTGTTACGAATGATACCTGAAAAGGTTGAAGCACTCTTGCAGGCAAAACGCCCATGTACAATAAAACAAGTCCGATCATTTCTGGGTATGGCTGGGTATTACCAAAAATTTGTACCTAATTTTTCCACTATAGCAGCCCCCCTGAGTGATCTAACAAGAAAGGGACAGCCTAAAAAGGTGAATTGGGGTGAGCCGCAGCAAAAATCTTTTGATGATTTGAAGGAAATGTTGAGTAGACAACCTGTGCTGAGTTTACCAAATTTTGCGGAACCATTCATAATACGCACAGACGCGTCTAACTGCGGACTAGAAGCAGTTTTATTGCAAAATAAAGGTGACCATGCATTTCCTATTGCCTATGCAAGTAGAAAATTATTGGATAGGGTAACCTCTTATTCAGTCATTGAAAAGGAATGCCTTGCACTTGTGTGGGGAATACATAAATTTCAGAGATACTTGCATGGACGGGAATTTGTGATTGAAACAGATCACCAACCGTTAATATATTTGAACCGTGCCAAAGTTTTGAATGGCAGATTAATGCGCTGGGCTCTTTCCCTACAACCTTATAATTATAGAATAGTAGCTATAAAAGGGTCTCATAATATTGGTGCTGATTATTTAAGTCGCAGCACTGGTGTAAAAAAATACGAGTTGAGATCGGAAGAGCCTGTGAATAAACATATGGGCGTATTGGAGTGTGTTGGTGTTGGATTAATCGATGGTCACGAGTTGGACGATTCGTGGGCAGACGATCCAAGTCGAGAGACTGCCGACTTAGTAGAAACCATTACTATTGCAGGTAAGGAAAGCATTAAAGATGTGCACATCTGGGAAGGGTTTGACGACGAACAAGCGAAGGTAGTTAGCATGCTACTTGTGAAATTTGCTGACACTTTGTCGGATATTCCTGGTAAATGTAGAGTAGGGCAACATAATATTCATTTGACCTCCGATGTGCCAATCAGATCACGTCCATATCCCCTGCCATATGCCTTGGAGAAGACAGTAAGGGATGAAATCCAAACGATGTTGAAAATTGGGGTCATTGAACAATCAAACTCCCCATATTGCTCCCCAATCGTACTCATTAAGAAAAAGGATGACGCAATTAGGTTCTGTATCGATTTTCGGAAGTTGAACAAGATTACCATTTTCGATGCAGAACCTATTGCCAAATCCCGAGGAAATGTTTGCCCAATTGGCTAAAGGCAAGTATTTTACCAAATTAGACCTATCAAAGGGGTTCTGGCAAATACCACTGGCACCAAAGGCCAAGGAAAAGACCGCATTCCAGACTCCTTTGGGCCTTTTCCAATTTATTTACATGCCCTTTGGACTTGTAAATAGTCCGTCCTCGTTTAGTCGCATTATGCGTGTGGTTCTCAAGGGCTTAGATGGAAAGGTGGTGAACATGGTTGATGATATCTTGATTTATACAGAAACGTGGGTAGAGCACATGACTATTTTTGCAGAGGTTCTAACTCGTTTAAAAAACGCATAGTTGACGGCAAAGCCAAGTAAATGTTTCATAGGATATAATAGCTTAGAGTTTGTAGGTCATCAGGTGGGTCATGGGCTGTTACGAATGATACCTGAAAAGGTTGAAGCACTCTTGCAGGCAAAACGCCCATGTACAATAAAACAAGTCCGATCATTTCTGGGTATGGCTGGGTACTACCAAAAATTCGTACCTAATTTTTCCACTATAGCAGCCCCCCTGAGTGATCTAACAAGAAAGGGACAGCCTAAAAAGGTGAATTGGGGTGAGCCGCAGCAAAAATCTTTTGATGATTTGAAGGAAATGTTGAGTAGACAACCTGTGCTGAGTTTACCAAATTTTGCAGAACCATTCATAATACGCACAGACGCGTCTAACTGCGGACTAGGAGCAGTTTTATTGCAAAATAAAGGTGACCATGCATTTCCTATTGCCTATGCAAGTAGAAAATTATTGGATAGGGAAACCTCTTATTCAGTCATTGAATAGGAATGCCTTGCACTTGTGTGGGGAATCCATAAATTTCAGAGATACTTGCATGGACGGGAATTTGTGATTGAAACAAGCAAATAACACCGAATAAACGGCAAGGTAAAGACTATGTCTAATTATAGTAAATACGTACTGCGTGCGTGACTCGAACCGGCGCTCGCGTACGGCACCTAATCGCCTAGCTTCACGCCACTACACGTCTTCCCCTCGGCCACCGGGCATCCCCAAAAAAGGATGCTTAATAACCGAGCTTATTACGTGCAGAGAACGTGAAACCCGTCCACGCGATACGCGCCACACAGCATGGCCAGAATGCGGCAAAGGCCTTCAGATCTGGCTGTAGTAGGATGGTGAAAGTAATGGTACAGCATTTTAACAGTGAATAAGTACTGAGAAATAATTTTTAAACTCATAGTTGCTGTCGACATAGGAAGTAAAGTAAGCAAATAACACCGAATAAACGGCAAGGTAAAGACTATGTCTAATTATAGTAAATACGTACTGCGTGCGTGACTCGAACCGGCGCTCGCGTACGGCACCTAATCGCCTAGCTTCACGCCACTACACGTCTTCCCCAAAAAAGGATGCTTAATAACCGAGCTTATTACGTGCAGAGAACGTGAAACCCGTCCACGCGATACGCGCCACACAGCATGGCCAGAATGCGGCAAAGGCCTTCAGATCTGGCTGTAGTAGGATGGTGAAAGTAATGGTACAGCATTTTAACAGTGAATAAGTACTGAGAAATAATTTTTAAACTCATAGTTGCTGTCGACATAGGAAGTAAAGTGATTGTGATTGAAACAGATCACCAACCGCTAATATATTTGAACCGTGCCAAAGTTTTGAATGGCAGATTAATGCGCTGGGCTCTTTCCCTACAACCTTATAATTATAGAATAGTAGCTATAAAAGGGTCTCATAATATTGGTGCTGATTATTTAAGTCGCAGCACTGGTGCAGAGACCGATAACTAATGATATAATGATTGACAATCCTGACTTCTTAGATGAAGACTACGTTTCATCTTAAAGGGGGAGTTGTGTCACGAATGTCAAACATTAAATCATGTTTATGTTGTATGTCGTGATGGTGGCGTTTTGTGTTTGTCTTACGGCGATAGATAGGCAATGTTGTTTTTGGCGATAGATAATTGTTAAATATAGAGTGGCAAGATGTTTCTTTTAGTCAGCACTAGGGAAGCGGACTTTGATAGAACCCGATCTGAACGTTCATGTGATCAAATGTGGATGTCCGATCTTGTCGGTACCACAGTAAGCCATTGAATAATATTGCATCATGGGAGTTTGTGATCTATTCTGGAGGACGTCGGTTCGCCGTTGCTGGCAGTATACCATTTTTACGTGTCTACTAATCACGCGTGTGCAAGTAACGTTAGAACAATACACTGTGTATTGTCATACAAATTAATGTATTGTGATCTACGGAATGTGCATCATAAAGATAATTCTATTGGCCAATTCCGGCCTACTGCAGTTAACGAGTGGGGAAACTCGTCAGTGAATGACATTCCCGATTTTGGTTCTGAACTGGATGTGCCTTCTAATTTATGTTACTGGCTACGGAGGTGTACTGCGGTGCAAGGGAATCCACCCGGACCACTCTCCTTCTACAAGTTACGAATATTGGACAGATAAACTCTGTAATTGATTGGTATCGTGCTCGACTGAGTGTGCAGCGTGTATTCTACGACTACAGTGCTTCTGACTGCGTTTTGTAATTACCGTCGTCGCCACCGTTAGCAGAGACTCGCTGGAAAATACACCGTTATCACGCAAAGACCCGTTTTCATCTAGTTTGAAGAAACTGTATGTAGGTAGGGCTGTGTCCGATCGCCAGTATATTATTTGCGTCCGTTGTTTGTTATGTACGTTTGTCTCTTAGTTTTGTGCATGCATGCATGCAAGATTCTATGTTAGACAATTATTTACATTATCGATTTAGGCATTTCCCCGTAATAGTATAACGTAATCCACTACCCTTTTCCCGTGTGGAAATATTACAATATTATTACTGAATTATATTTCTAGTGTTATATTTTTGTGTAACAAAACAACGTGTACCCCACTACCCCTTGTAACGGGTCAGGCATTTCCTGCCCATCTTTTAGGTGTGTGGAATAAAGTACGTTGTTTAAGCCTTACTCGTGTAGCGTGTACTTGTTGTTTATGTCGCATATAAATTATACAACTGTCTTAAGTTTCGAATTATTAAAGGACCCAGTTCACAGGGGTGTTATGGGTGTCATTTGTTTGGGACAATTTGAAACCTTAGCTCAACCCAACTAGCACCCTGTGACATTTTGGTGGCAGCGGTGGGATTGTTTTAGGCACCAGTCATTTCGATGGCGTGGGATTCATAAGTTTATAAATCAATTTGTTAAATTTATGAATTCATTGAGTACATTTATAAAGCCATTAATTATATCGAAACAAATCTATCAGTTGTTGTTGGATTGAGTGCGACATATCAACAATTCCTTGCTACAATTAATCGACTAGATTAAATTTATAACATGGATATTGATGTGGGAATGTTAAAGCAAACTGGGGAAGAATTGGGTTATGAGGGGCCTGCCCTAACAAAATTTATTCAGGAAGAGAGAAGTAGATTAATCATTGAATTTAAAGAGAATCAACAACATGCTAGGGAGGCAAGAAAGGCAGAGAGGGAAGAGGCAAAGGCACAAAGAGAGGAGGCAAAGGCACAGGCACAAAGAGAGGCAGAGGAACGGTCTGAAAAAAGAAAGTTTGAAGAAAAAGAGAGGGAAAGGCAATTTGAATTAGAAAGAATAAAAACAGAAATAACCGTGAGAGCAGAGGGAACTGGTGGCCAATCCCAGGATTCATATATGATGGGTGCTAAACTTCCTAAACTGTCAGAATTTAAGGAGGGCGAGGATATGGATGCGTTTTTGGTTCGTTTCGAGGTATTTGCTAAAAGTCAACACTGGTCAGAAGATGTATGGGGCG